TGTCGTAGGGTGACATTGCTCATTCACTGTACTGTAGTTATGGAGGTGCAGTGTTGTTATCCTAGTACAGGAAGTGTGTTAGGACTACAGGACACCTCCTCCTCTCTATTTAACATAGTTGGAGGTGTACTGTAGTTCACAGAAATGAACTGGGAAGTCTGTTAACATTGTTTCAGACTTCACTTCAGTACACTAAAAATTACAAAGATAGTGAATTTCTGACAGGATCAATGGGTACTTTCATACTTGAAGAAAATGTACTAAGTCCAAAAAAATATGTTACCTTCACAGCTAAGGACTGGAAAGCTGCAATGTATTACATTTTTGTTCTTGTGTTTAGATATATTTTAATATAAATTGTTTTTGCAGTACAATATGGTTTGCTGGGTTTTTGTAATCTATGTGCTTGCAGGTTGATACAATGTGCTGCTGTAGTCTATATTCCTGCTGGATGATATATTGTATAGTTGCTGACCGATGTAATTTACTAATACAATGCAATATGTTCTTAGCACAATTTTCTTGCATGAAGGCAAGGTGAAATCGGCTGCTTACAAGGAGAATGTAGCATGTTAGTGAGCCAGCTAGTCTGCCCAGGTTAGGGAAGGGTCAATGCTATCTGGCTCCCGGGCTTTTTGAAGGGCTCTGCCCTCCTCCCTGTATCATATAAAAAGGGGGAAGGCTCTGTCCAGACAAATCCTGCCACATGGGAAGCAGGAAAAGGCTTGCAGAAGAAGATGTAACCCTTTACAGCCTGCAATTACTTGTCTGGAGGGAGAGAGGCGCCTGCATGAGATGCTGCTGCAGGACTGCTGCATCTTGTCCCACATGAGTCCCACATGAGACTGGAGCACTGCCAAGGATGGACTTCCGCTAGTTAATGGACTTTTATGGAATTTTCTCTTCTCAAAGGTATGCCTGTGCAACCACAAAACAGACAGTCAGGGTTATGATGTTCTGGACTTTGTAAAGCTTATTAACTGTGTTGAGCCTGGTCTGAGGTTACTAAAGGGATGCATAGGTATCATATGGCAGATATGCCAAACCACTTTTGGCCTGTAATGGCACTAGAAGGGTATGAAGTACACTACACTACTGTGTCAAGTTAATGTACCAAGCAAGCACAAGGTTGTTACTAAGGGTAACTAAGTCCTCAATGAAGACACAAGGTAACCAATCGAGGCATTGTACCTTGGTGAGGTGGGGTATCCTCTGGTAGTGAGGGGGTCACTATTTTGGTTCCCTTCCTAGCAACTGACCCTCAGCCTAATTGTAAGCTATGGAAGAGGAAGAGTTAACATAGGACATGCATGGAATCTGTGTCCAGTGGGATCTCATTCTGTTCCTGGAAGTGAGGTAAGAGAGGTACAATGGCTGGTGGAGGTAGTGCAGTTCGGCCGCCTACTTCCAATGCAGCATAAACAAGTAACTGTGTGTAGAGCTATGGGACAACACCTAATAGAGAATCTCTGCTACATGCAGTGTCAGCTCATCTCTACGTTTGGAGACTGCCTTATAGACTGTTCACATGACTACAGTTCCTGCTTGCTCTCGAGCATTGGCAAGTTTGCCCTCGGGGAAAGGCCTCACCCACAATGCCTGGCCTAGCCCAAGAACCTTGTGGGCTTACAGTCAGAGGAACATTTACCGCATGCAGTGTAATGTAGTATGGTTATGTGGCAGTGACATATTAGGCTCAATTCACTAAGATAGGTATGTATTTATCTTTATTTTTAATTGAATTTTATATTTTATTTTATATCAAGATAAAATCTCCTAAAAAAGTTAATTTCACAAACCTACATATAATATTGGTGGTGATATTTTTTTTTTTGAATGAAATGAGCATTTTCTCAAAGATCTTTTATTTATCTCACCATTCATTGATATAATGCATGTGTTACTTGCCATTGTGATTGTTATGTTAGGCACATTGTTAAACCTTATGCACACTGATGTTTATTAGCTCCAAAGTCCTCAAGCGTAAATCCCCAGAACTTTCCCAAACCCAAAGAGACAAAGGCACCGAGTAAAGCTGCGACTACAAATTACTTGATGTATGTGGCCGTGCGTTTATGACATTTATCACCAAACACGAATGTTGCACATTTTGGGAACTATGCACAAGCGCGGGTAATTGCCGATGCAGAAATTATGTTTATACAAGTAAACATTGTTTACTCCTGTAGCAGTATTTACACAAGTGTGGCTATTTATAGCCATTCACTTATACTGGCAACTGTGGCTCCCTGGGTGTGAGATAGTCATTGGCCCTCATTACTAAAAATAATGAGAATTATCCTTTAGTTAGGAAAGGTAAACATAAGTTCTGCACAAGGGTTTTTTTGTAGACTATGTCCACCATTGGTTTCCAAATATGATGGTAAATTCAGTAATGCAGCTGCAGGAAGCCCACAATCAATACTGGTCACCCATTGTGTGCCCTTTGCTTGGCTTTTTTTGGCACAGCTTCCATGGTTCAAGTGAAAGGCTGCAAACCGATGGAAGTCATAAACAGAAGTAATTTATACTCAGGACTACCGCACTGTAAGAGCATTACATTCTTCTGTAGGGCAGGCTGTGTGTAGAAAAAAACATATGTAATGGAATTGTTTCATTTTATGAAAAATGAGTGTGCTGAAGTTTACTCGTCTGTTACACACTCACATGTGGAACAGTCATAAAAGCGTATTTTGTGGGCAAAAAGAATGTGGTATATGTATGCTGAGTATAAGGGGAGTAGGCTTTGGTGTTATTCAACTATGCCCCTTCAAGCCCCCCACAATTTGATGACACCCACTATTTGCCACGGCGTGCTATGCATGCTGCTTTATTTCTTTCAGCCATTTCTTGTTTTATAGGGTGTAAACAAGATATCGTTGTCAGATGCGCTACGTATGCCATTGCCCCTAATACATCCAAAAAGTCAAAAATGTATACATTTACATAGAACATAAATACACAGAGGAGGAATGTTGTTTTATACATAAGTAGATGAAGTACTGTTTGCAGTGCATGCTTTTTGAGGGACTAGTCAGACTTAAACTTTACGGGCTTTCACAGATATCAGTCATCAAACCTGGTAATTCCCAACGATAAACTGTGACGTGTGTTTGTCCATCAATAAAAAAGTCCACAATTCCGTGTAAAAAGCTACATCTGTTTATAAACCATCGCACACAATATTGTTGTAAATTCTGCAACATTGTCTCACTGCGAAATCAGCAATGTCTGAATTTGTCCATTCATCTGTAAATGTTAGTGTTCCATTTTCAATGTTAGAACTGTATTAAGAAAAGAACAAAAGAATGTAACATTAAAAAGTTCAACAAAAAAAGTAATGCTAATTGATATTGCTTGTCATACGTTATCAATATATTTTTTTAAACAGTGCTCATAGGCAGATTATTAAAAATTGTTCCTCATCAGTGCATTTACTCTGATAAAGAATGTATTCATCACTATAAAATCCATTTTAGATAATAGGCACTATTCTAAAAGAAAAAGTGGCAACCATTCCAACCTATAATTGGCCTTTGCAGTAAGGTGCACATGGAAGTGCAATGCACATCACAAAGAAACAAATGATTTTCTAGCACACTTACCAGCCAACCTGCAAAAACAACCAAAATTGGCCATGTCTAACAGTGTCTAACAGTGTACATTAAAAACAGTGGGTTTCGTTTGCACACATTTGCAAATATATGCATAAGCCACAGTGCCCACGCCAAGGGTCCAATGTATATACTGTGTTCCCAACTCTAAATATCCAGAGCCTCCATAGTGGGAGTACATATAAGAATGGATAGATTAAGGGCAGGTATGTCTGGAGGGAGCCTACCCCTCCTTAAAGGCAAAAGGATGCACATGATGCCCAGAAAAAGCACAATGGCAGCGAAGGCATCCAGTGCATCCCTGCACCCAATTCATCCAACTGTGCAAAAAAAGTGGCAAAACAACCAAATTGGCCCCGACAAACAGTTTGCATTAAAAACAGAGGGTTTTATTTGTACAAATTTGCAAATATATGCATAAACCACAGTGTCCACACCAAAGGACCAGTAGTAGGCACACTTACCCCGCATAAATATCTTTACAGCAAACATAGAGGTTATATGTTTTGTTTTGGAAAGACTCATTGGCGCCAAAGAAGTCCACACAGTTTACATTTCTTTCCGTATATAAAATTCCTGGAATTAAAAAATGGGTTTGTTATTTTTTCACTATTGGGCAAAAAGAAAAATAAGAGTGAAAGTAATTTTGTATGAGAACCTAACTCCAAGACTAACACCCATAGAGTGAATGCTTCAGGGTCAGGCGCTCAAAAGAAAAAAGGTCTAATTGTCTCAGGAATTATATCTGAGACTTATAAAGTAGCGGCACGCATAAATTACTAAATTCAATACCATCAATCATTTAAAAAATTATTTTAATAGGAGAACATTAGCCAGCCAATAACCATCTGACTCCTTTTCTAGTAAAATGGAGCCTTGGGAAAAAATGCACCCTACATGCTGGAATTCTGTTCTAGGTGGCAAGTATATCTCTTTAAATGCTTTTAAGCCTAGCTCTCCAAGGAATTTATTTAATTTTTAAAGTTTGGTAGGTTTTTTGCCTCTGTCAGGTATTCATTGCTACTGGTGTCCTTATTGAAATGTACCCCTATTTCCCGTCAGGGAAGGAATTGATAAAAATCTTTCCAACAGGGACACAGAAAAGAAAATACATACATTTTTAGTACTGTGGGTCAGGTTGGAATTTCTTACAATTTTTTTATTGTTGTCTGTGCCTTCCTGGTTCTGTGATGCCCAGTGTATGGGTATCAGTGACAGGAGGTGAGTGGGGTCACAGGAATAAAAAGCTAAACCTAAAAACAGAAAGTTTACATCTTTCCCACTCCATCCGAAACTAACCAAAAAAAACCCCAAAACTGGACTAGAGTAAGGTGAGAAAATAAGCGATGGCAGCTCTCATATCATAGTCTCTCTTTCAAACTGTTCCTATATATCACAAAACCTTCCTCCATCATCAGAAGACCTACCTGCAATACAAGCATTGACAAATGAGACACAAGCTCCAGTCATCAGAGCCCTCACCACAACCTTGGATAGATCGCTTTTCCGTTGAGGTGCCATGGAAGCTGTGAGATGCCAAAAATATATAATACTTTTGATAGCATGCTAAGATACAACTCTTTTGAAAAATGTAGCAAATCAAAAAATAAATCTTTAGGATAATTGTTCAACACGACACAAATATAACCTTACATAATCCTCCTAGCATGATGCCAATGGAGCTAATATTAGCAAATCCACATAGGGCAAAGGTAGTGATGACCTCCGCTCTCTCCTGTAAAACAAAAATAGTTTTAGAACATGTTCCATTCAAAAAAACTCAAGATGATGATTATTAACCATTTCAGCTCCAGAAGATTTTACCCCCTTCATGACCGGGGCATTTTTTTTTTTGCTATTCAACACTGCACTACTTTAACTGGCAATTCATGCAACATTGCACCTGCATGAAATATATATCATTTTTTTACACAAATAGAGCTTTCTTTTGGTGGTATTTGATCACTGCTGGGTTTTTTATTTTTTATTACATTAACAAAAAAAAGACGAACAATTTGAAAAAAAAAGGTGTTTTTTATTTTCTGTTATAAAACATATCCAATGAAAAAATTTCTTCATAAATTTAGGCCAAAATGTATTCAGCGTTGCATGTCTTTGGTAAAAAAAAAAAGTGTTTATTGATTGGTTTGTGTGAAAGTTATAGTGTCTACACAATTATGGTATATACTGTATACTGAATTTTTGGGGTTTTTTTTATACTAATAATAGCGATGATCAATGATTATAGTGGGACTGTGATAGTGTGGTAGGAAATCTGACACTGACGCTGGTAGGGAATTGACTAAATGACACTGACATCTCCAGTGACACTAATACTGTGATCATTGCTGATACTGTCACTGTACTAATGACACTGTCTGGGAAGGGGTTAATATCTAGGGGAAATCAAAGGATTAACTGTGTGCCTAACAATGCTTAATGTGTGCTGCTTTTACTACTTGATGTAACTGTTTTAGCTCTCTACTTTGCAGGGAGAAAAAACAGCCTCACCTCTGTTCTCCATTCAGAGCCCTGTGTTGTTAGTAAACACAGGGCTCTGAGCTGTCATTCACTAAGCCAATCAGCAGGTCCTGGCCATAAATCATTGGTCGGGACCTGCTGATCAGCTTGTGCTGTAGCTAATGAGAGCAAAAAAGGGGTGGCAGGTGCACGTGCGTGGGTACCCCCTACCCGGAAATGCTAGATTACATACATGTACATGATCTGGCGCAGCAGGGCCACTGTGCCAAGTAGGCAGTCAGCAAACGGTTAATAAATACAATTTCAATAAAACAACTGTTTTTTAATATATTTTAAAAAAAACCTGCAGTGAGATAAATATGCAGGTTGTCACTGATGACTGCTTCTAGTTGCTTAGCTGTTTTTAGAATTACTACTTTTGTAGTCACTCACTCAGGATAAACATGTAGATTGGAAAGTCATAGGGATGCATCAACTATGTGTGACGGGACTCAAATCATGCAAAGCAGAAATATCAAACTGGGTTTTAGGGCTTCATGAGACTCTGACTTTGTCTTTGTCTCCCCAGTGTGTTTCCAACTGATAAAAATGTACTTCTTTACATTGTACATAGCTTTTCTTCTCAATACGGAAAAAATTTTGGGCCCCTTTATCTGGGATAAATGTTACTATAATGTTAACCAAAATGCTAAAAGCTACCAGGATTTAAAGGTTAAGTTCACCTTTTCACTAAATATACCATGCTGTACAGGGGCCCCCAGAGTGTTAAAGTGTTACTAAACCCACAACAGTAAAATCAGTCTGTATATGCAGTAAAGAATGCTTGTTATATTCACTGTGGAACATAAGGGGTTAATCCTCTGCATTGTGTAAAAAGGCTGTTTGATCCTATCTTCTCTGCCCCTCCTCTTGTTGAAATGTCCACCTAATACAGACTGAATCCATAGTCACATTCACATGCTCATTTTGGTGTGTATTGCTAGAGAGGTTTGTTTTTTTTTTTTTTTTGGGAGAGTGCATGTGATCAGCACAGTGCCAATCAGCACTGTCCAGACAGAGGTCAGGGGATTTCCATCGTCCTAGAGAAAACTCCTCCTACAAGCTTTAACCACTGCTTAGCTGAAGTCACATGACTGCTCTACCTGCTGATGAGAAAAGGTATTTAGCAGTTTATATTTACTAAGATAATAGCATTTCCATGTTCTGTGTACTGTGGGAGACCAGATATAATGAATACAAAATCCTGGGTTTAGTATAACACTTTAACCATTTGTTTCTGGTCATAAGTATATGTGTAGCGGCAAAGCATATTGGTCTTAACATTGAACTGCTGCACATATGCATCCATAGGGCGTTTCCTCTGTGCTGACAGCATGGTCACTGTGCTTTCCCAGCACAATAACCAAGCTGTCATGGACCACTTCCAGTCATTGTTTATGAACAGGAGCTTCTGATCGTGTGACCACTGTGACAGCCAGTTACAGCATTTTCATGATTGGAAAGCCCGCCTCCATTCCTGGTATTAACCGCTTAAGGACCACCCTATAGCGGATATACTGCTACAGGTCGGCACCTGTGTACAGAATCATGTATATATACGTGATTTTGCATTTCTGGGTAGAGCTGCCACGGATGTCAATCTCCGGGTCCCAGCCGGTAAATACCCGCCAGCGCCCCGGTGATTACTGATCATCTCCGACAGGGAGGAAGATTGTTTTGTTTACAAACAATCTTCCTTCCTGTCAGCTCGGGCACACTGCTCGGGGTGGCTGTGCACAGTACAGCGATCCTAATTAGTGTGCTTACAGTGAAGAAGAAACACCCCCCGCCCCGTAGTAAAACACTCCCAGCACACAGTTAACCCTTTGATCGCCCCTCACATTAACCCCTTCCTGCACAGTGCCATTAGTACAGTGTCAGTGCTTTTTTTAGCACTGATCACTGTATTGGTGTCACTGGGGTGTCAATGACACCAAGTTAGTGACAGAATGTCCACCGCAGTCCCGCTAAAAGTAACTGATCACCACCATTACTAGTAGAAAAAAAAAAATTCCATTACCTATACTGCCATTTGTAAACACAATAACTTTCACATAAACCAATTCATTTACACGTATTGGAATTTTTTTTTAGCAAAGACATGTAGCAGAATACATTTTGGCCTAAATTTATGACGAAATTTGATTTTTTAAATTTATTTACTGGACAGGTTTTTAATAACAAACAGTCCAAAATATAGTTTTTTTTCTCAAAATTGTCGGTGTTTTTTTTTGCTTATAGCGTATAAAATAAAAAATGCACAGGCGATCAAATACCACTGAAAGAAAGCTCAATTCGTGGGCAAAAAAGGATTTTTTGGGGTGCAGCGTTTCATGACCGCGCAATTGTCAGTTAAAGTAACGCACCGCCATAACGCATAAAATGGCCTGGTAATGAAGGGGGGTAAATCCTCAGGAGGGCAAGTGGTTAAGGACCACTAGAAGGTGATGGCAAAGGGTTACGCTGTGTTGTTTTCACAGTATCCTTAGTTTTACTGCCTTGCCAGTAGGGAATGACTGACATTCCCAAAGCCTACCACAAAATTTCCCGCTGCTACAAAAACATGAACACTCAGGTTCCAGGATGCTCCAAGAATTAGACACATGCTCCTGACATTAGCTTTCTTTTGGCTGTCCATGCCTGTTCAGCTGTGTTAATGAGGACTCACTGCAGTGTATAACGGAGAGCAGATAATGATATCTGATATCTATTATAAATCGGTTCCTAACAAATCTGTTTATAAAAGCATGGAGACCACATTTTTAACAACCTTTGCACACATATTCACTTTCTTTTACATCTCTATTTATGAAGATGATATTTTGTCTGTTTTTTAATTATTTTGTATCAGCAGATTTACATATATATTTAAAGTATGGTTTCACCACAGCTGCTATACTTACTGTTATCCACTGTCTGGATCCATCTAACCATTCATCTGCACCTTCAAGCCGTTTAGCTTTGTAATCAGCCAGTTGTCTATATGCCACAAACTCATTCAGAATGATCTTTGTTCCCAGCATCTCACCAACTGGTCCAGCCTCATCCCACCGTACTCCCATCATGAAGGCCACAGGCATGAATATGTAGGACAGAATCAGCTGAGAAAGATACAAGTACATTTTAGAAGTAAAGTAATGTTTCATCTGCAGCAACAAAAACATTTAGGGGTGCAATCATATACTGTATATTAGTTAGTGCTTATTGTGAGTTATTATTCTATGGGTTAAATTCGTAAAAAGAACACCATTGTAGACTCTTAGACTCATAGTTACTGCCAGCAATGCTTATAATGCATCTAATTATGAGATCAGACACCCGGGTACATAATACATTTATGTCAAGTCTGATGCAACATTTATCACTACTATGGCAAAATTGGGTTCTAAATATGGCTTGAGTTGTGAATCATGTTGTATTGCAGTATGCAGATTAGGTTTGGGCACCAGTTCACAAAAAAGATATCGGAAAATTTGGAGAAAGTGAAGACCAGGGCAACCAAACTGATAATGGCATGGAGGAGTTCAGCTATGAGCAAAGATTAGAGGAACTAAATGTATTCTTTCTTGAGAGGAGGCGATAAGGCCCCGTACACACAATGAGAATATCGGACAAATGATCATCCTTTTTTTTTTTTAATGCTAGTCTCATATGCATAGTGAAGAAGTAACTAAAGTTATTAAAATTCTTGTATGACAAAATAAAAATCCAAAAGTGTTGTAATATATTTGTATTGTATTTTCGGATGAAAACAAATGAAAATCTTACAATCTGGTATCGTACGAGACAAATTTCCGTGCTTGTCTCTTCTAATTATTTTGGACGAAAGCTGTGTACTAAAGATCAGATTATCGTACGATCGCTTCGAAAGCACTATCTTTTGCACAATTTTCTGATCGTGTGTACTAGGCTTAAGGGGGATATGATCAACAGGTATAAATACATGAGTGGTCCATATAATGAACATGGTGTAGAGTTATTTACTTTCAGGCCATTCGAGGGGACAAAGGGCACTCTTTACGTGTGGAGGAAAAGAGATTTAATCTTCACATATGGAAAGGCTTCTTCACAGTAAGGAATGTAAAAATATGGAATAGACTCCCCCACGAACTAGTTCCACTGGAGTGAATTGGATTATGCTTTATTTGGGTTTTTTTTTGCCTTACTCTGGATCAACAGTGTTTATGGAGGTTTTATTATTTGTGTTTGTGTTTTTTTTTAATTGGTTAAATTAGATAGACTAGTGTCTTTTTTCAATCTTACTAACCATGTAACTATGCATTAGACTTGTATATTATGTGTATTTTGTGCAGCATTCAGTTGCCCATTCTCTTCCTTGTATAGATTGTCTAAAGTAAAGCTGTTTGGTATGTACACAAGCTGGGACTCCATTGCCATTACTGCACCGCTCTGCAACTTTTTGAATACATCTGGGCAGCAGATTATAGGCTGGGCTGGGTGGTTGTAAAAATAATTTAAAAAATCGAAATAACTTAAAAAAAAAGCACCCTCACCCCCCGCTGACCGTTCAGCATTGACCATGTGCCAGTACGTGAACAGCGATTACACCATGCATGTGAGGTATCGCCATGAACATCAGATCAAGGGCAGTAAATCTAGCACTAATCCTCCTCTGTAAATCTAAAATGGTAGCTTGTAAAGGGTTTTAAAGCATTGCCTATGGATATTAAAAATGCATGCAGTTGTTGTCATGGCACAAGGCATGCGCAGTTTAAAGCATGTCATGTTTGGTATCTATTTACTCGACATACCATCATCTTTTATATCTTACCAAATATTTGGCCAATATATTGTGTTTTTGTGCATTAAGAGTAAAAAAAAGTGTATTTTTTTCAAAAAAAATTTGCGTTTGAAAAATCACTGCGTGAGTACTATGTGACATAAAAACTTTCAGCACCCACCATTTTATTCACTAGGGTGTCTGCTTTAAAAAGTAAATAATGTTTGGGGGTTCAAATTAATTTCCTAGCAAAAAATACAGATTTTTTTTCATGTGAACAAAAAGGCTTGGTCTTCAGGTGGTTAGAAGAGTGAATGATGTGTGGCATAAAATTCTAATACTGAGCATAAAATGCCCCCACCCCACAAAACGACCCCTTTTTGGAAAGTAGACACTCCAAACTATTTGCTGAAAGGCATGTTGAGTCAATAGAAGAATGACAAAAAAAAATTTTTTTTTTCTTTTTTTACACAAAATTGTCACTTAAATGATTTATTGCTCACACATGCCATGAGTATATGAGGAATTACTCCCCAAAATACATTCTGCTACTTCTCCCGAGTATGGGGAAACCACATGTGAGAGACTTTTTGGCAGTCTAGCCAAGTACAGGACCCCAAAATCCAATAAGCACCTTCAGGCTTTTAAAGGGCTTTAGTTCCTCATTACACTTCCTGACTACCTATCGCAGTTTCGGAGGCCCTGAAATGCCAGGATAGCACCTCCCCCCTAAATGGCCCCTTTTTGGAAAGTAAACACCCCAAGGAATTTGATAAGAAGCATGGTGAGTATTTTGCAGATCTCGTTTGTTGACACAAGTTTTTGGAAAATGAAGAAAGAAAACAAAAACATATTTTTTCTTTTCTTTTTTTCTATTTTAAAACCTTGTGAGAAAAAAATTAGATCTGCAAATACCCACCATGCCTTTTTTAATTAATTGGGGTGTCTACTTTCCAAAAAGGGATCATTTGGGGGGTTTGGTGCTATCCTGGCATTTTAGGGCCTCCGAAACTGTGATAGGTAGTGAGGAAGTGAAATGAGGAAGTTACGCACCTTCAGGCTTTCAAAGTGGTCATTGGATTTCAGGCTCCTGTATGTGGCTAGGCTCTCAAAAAGTCTTATACATGTGGTATCCCCATACTCGGTAGAAGTAGCAGAATGTATTTTGGGGTGTAAATCCACATATACCCATGGCTTGTGTGAGCAATATATCATTTAAATGACAACTTTGTATAAAAAAAAAATGTCATTTTCCAGAAACTCATGGAAAAAAAAATAAATCTTCCATGGACTCAATATGCCTCTCAGCAGATAGCTTAGGGTGTCTACTTTCTGAAAAGGGGTCATTTGGGGGTGTTTGCACTGTGCTGGTATTTCAGCACCTCAAGGAATGTGAGTCAGAAAGTAAAAGCTGTGTAAATTCCATTATCTATACCATAGTTTGTAGACGCTATAACTTTCACACAAAACAATCAATATACACTTATTGGGATTTTTGTTACCAAGAACATGTAGCAGAATACATTTTGGCCTAAATTTATGACTAATTTTGAGTTTACTATGTATTTTTTATAGCCAAAAGTAAAAAATATTGTTTTTTTTTATTTTTGGTCTTTTTTTATTTATAGCACAAAAAATAAAAAGCACACAGGTACTCAAATACCACCAAAAGAAAGCTCTATTTGTGTGAAAAAATGGCGTAAATTTTGTTTGGGTACAGTATTGGATGACTGTGTAATTACCAGTTGAATAGTGCATTGCCAAATAGCAAAAAAAGGCCTGGTCAGGAAGGGGGTAAATCCTCAGGAGGGCAAGTAGTTAAAATACATTCAGCTACCTTCAACGTGTAGCACTACTCCTGTAGGAGCCATGGCAATACAGGACAGGTCCTCCTCAAAAACTTTGCCTCGCAGCACAAGCACATAAGCTCACTCACATGTTTCTTCATTGACAAGTCTAGGGTGTTGGTTTTTTATTTTTATTGTTTTTGAGAACTTGGATAGGGATGAAGGAGATGAGTGGGATACTCCAAAATTAGGAACTATGTACACTTGAGAACTTTATCTAATCTTCAGGGTAAGCTATGTCAGAGTCCATGCTTAAATCAGTAAAATTCAGCTTTAAGGCAGTAGTAAAAAAGTAGTAGTAGTAACTGTAGTAGTAGTAGTAGTAGCAACTTCTTTAGAGCCCAAGAGCAGTGTCACTATAAAAGTAGGTCAGATGGACAAAGCTCTTCAGAACTCTGAACTCCAGCCAGTGTTCCCTTTGTTAGACCCTCAGCTGACTTCCTAGCACCATGCCTTCCTCCCTGGTACCAAACCAGATCTTCAGTAGATGGCTCCTCAGTCAGCATGGCAGAACCTGGGTCTCAGTCTTCAGACCCTCAGGTTGCCCACCTGAGGGGCAGTAGATGCCTGGGAGTGCAATGTGCCCTCTCCCATGCTGGACCAATCCTGGACGAAACATCACGAGTCCAGTGCACTCACTGAATATGTACAATTACCCAGCATGCCATCAGCCAGCCAGTCATTCTGGGATAGGCTGGGATTGTATCAATATTCATGTTGTCATCTGCATAGCTCCACACCTATGATCTAGAAACATCCCGTTTCCTAGATGCAGAGGGAGCTATCAGCCTACCAGCAGATGATCGTACATGATTGTATCTGCATTTTACACACAGTTTTCGGTGCATTTTTTCGTGAATTGACGTCTATTAGGCCTTGCATTTTCTGAAGATCTAGCATGTACGACTTTGATGTGAATTCATGAAAACTCATGGTCTGATAGAAGTCAATGGGAGTGCCCCTAAAACTGTGTGTAAAATGTGTATAAATCGCACTGTACCCAAACTGCAGTGCACTGGTGTGAACCCAGTCTAATTTAGTTTTTTTAATGCTTTTTAAAAACAATATAGAGCCACACTTCAAAAAGACTATAAATGTTTATTTGGTTGTTTTTTAACTGGTTCCAGATGGATGGCGGCCTGCAAAACCCCTCATCCCTCCAGGTGGACGCCATATGGCATCCTTTCAGGCATGCGCAGTTTCCATGCCCACAGAGCCGCGATCTGTCACCGCCGTGTACCTCGGACAAGGCCGATGACAGATCTGAGTACCAGCCCCGTTGCCAGTATCATATGACACAGGACAGTTGTAAACAATGGATGGCTTCCTTTCATGCCATCCATTGTATATTAGTGTGTCTAGCTGTGAATGGTCACAGCTATCACATGCACAAGCTGGAACAATCACAGCCCAGCTGTGTCATGTGATTAGTCGTGGCCAAATCACAGCTAAGCACAAAAAGTAACCCCTGAATGAATTGATGTCATTCAGGTAAATGCTTGCTTATAGCAAAGTAATTCTTTGCTATAAGTAAATTGTGTAAAAAAAAAAAAAAAATACTGATCACTTCCCCAAAGTAGTACAATGTTACTATGGTAACATTGTACTACTTTGGTCATAGTGAAATATGAAAAAAAAATCTTTAAAAAAAATGTAATAAAATATTAAAATATTAAAACTAATAAAAAAAAATAAAAAATATTTTTTTTAAAAAAATTATAATTTTTTTTTTTCATACTGTCACCAGTCAGTGTCCCTGATCACCGCCATGACAGTTATATGATGACTCTGTACTACACTGGTGACAGTATGTAAAAACAAAATAGTGAAAGTAATTTTTTTAATTTTTTCATTTTCCGATAAATTATGACAAAAAAATTACAACTTCATAAAACTCACGATGCCTCTTATCAAATACGTCGGACTGTCTAATTTGCAAAAAGTGGTCATTTGGGGGATATCTGTACTATTCTGACATTCTTGGACCTCAAGAAATTAGATTGGCTGTCAGTACTTCAGGATTGATCAATATTCAGATATGCACCATAGTTTGTGAACTCTATAACCTTCCTACAAACTAAATAATACATCCTAATTTGGGTTATTTTCACCAAAGACATGTAGCAGAATACATCTTGGCCTAAATTTATGAAGAACAATTATTTATTTGCAAACGTTTATAACAGAAACAAAGAAAAACTTCAAAATTTTCGGTCTTTTTTTGTTAATTTATCAAAATAAAAAATCCCCAGTGTTGATTAAATGCCACCAAAAAGAAAGCTCTAGTTGTGTGAAGAAAATGATAAAATTTTAGTTTGAGTACAATGTTGTATGACCGCGCAATTGTCATTCAAAGTGTGAGAGCGCTGAAACCTGAAAAATGGCCTGGGCAGGAAGGGAATAAAAGTGCCCGGTATGGAAGCGGTTAAGGACAAACAATTTACTGATATATGTGAAAATCTATCATCATGTTTTATTTAGCATGGATGGAGGAATTTCCAGCGTTGGCTATTGCATGCAGTTACTGTTTGGGTATTTATGCAGCGAGTGCTGCAGCTGCCTGAATACCTCAGCAGTAACTGTATCTGATAGGATACTTTTTATTTGGACTTTTATCAATTTTTACATTGACTTTTGACAAGCTGGCTGGTGCAAACAGGGCCTTCCATGGCTAAACTTTCTGCTGATTCGCCAGGAATCAGCAGAAATATGAGCCCATATGACTAGCTTTAAGCCGGCCATAGACAAAAAATCGCTTGCTTCCTCCATCAGCACAGTCAGTGTTGATGGGGGAATCCCTCCCACAGAGCTATTGTGTTGTTGCTATTGGGGGGTTGTTGGAGGGAGCCATTCCTGCCAGAAGAACACAGTGATTATTGGTAGCAGCCATAGCCACTGGCAATAATCACATGAAAAATCCTACAGACTGACTGTACCCAAGTCATACAACAATCAAATTTGGTACAATCAGCCTGCCCATGGATTAATTTGAATCTTGGCCTGTCCTTGCTAAACTCAGAGATATTTGAACCATCTATGGCTTAAGTTAAATTGGCCCTTTTACTGGTACTATCAACTGTATCTAAAATATACACTAAAAACAGCTGGATACCTTACTGCAAGTCAATTGTGTTAGACAATTCAGTGCTAGCTTACCTGTAGAGTAAGTTTAGGATAGTCCACCATTCCTCCAATCCAGGAGAAAGCAGCGTTGATAAATGAAAGCAAGGCCATAAATGCAATCAGATTAGCAGCAATATTGGCAACCAGTCCCACAGAGGCAGATGCCCCATTACTGGCAGCTTCTAGTATAGTTCTTTCTTCCCTATAGGAAGAGAGCAACATACAAAAAATGATGATGAATTCTGCTTAAGACACAAAAATGTGACAATGTGGGAAAAAAAGTACATTTGACCCCTGAAATCAGAATTTGAAAATGTGATTAATATTTAATAAGCACATCTTGAACTTTCTGCCTTTGCTATGTTTTTTGTTAGTAGTATTTGTGTTAACTTTATTTCCTTCAGAATATATAGGCATTATATACACAAATTATGACTTCTCATTAGATTGTACGACCTGAGAGGTACATCCTTTAGGGCTCATTGACGCTAGATATAACTGAAAAGGCAAGCAATATTGTGTGTGTTTTCATGTGAGTTGCTATACATTTTGAAATTAATTGAGGTGTGATTTTGGAGGTCTTCAGTCATTATTTTACTGAATTATTCTGTTTTGTTGTACCCTTTGAGGACCAAGGGACGCATTTGTCCCATGTTTTTAATTGCCTGTATCATCTGATTAAGAACTTAAAATACTTTTTTTTTTTGGTTTGAGTCAAAATATTAGTTCTTATCAACAAACGGATCTAGCTTTTTGCCAATTATTTAATGAAATGGCTTAGTTACAGCAACTGAAGTGTACGAACTTTAAAAACAAAAAATTGATTATTTTGGCATTCCGTAATCTTATGGTCCTCAAAGGGTTAACAGGGTTTGAAAAATGACTGCCACTTTTTTTTAGGCAAAGGGGTTGATTTACTAAAGGAGTAGCAGTTGTTTTACCTAGTTAACTGTACATTCAATGATTGAGGTGAAGCTGTGTTCATTTTGAACACCCAACTATTTGCTAACAAATATCTGTTGATTTCCTGAAAACATGCTTGGGTATTCAGAACGAATGTAAACATTTACTTTGGTAGGTGAACACCCTCTATTGTTTTAGTAAATCATCCCAAATGTCTGTGCTCAGTTCAAGTCTAGACCATGGATGGTTACAGTCTCTTCCATGTTCTCCTTACGTCTTTCTCAGCTCCCCTGCTTTGGTTCTCTCACATGTTGCCTTCCGAGTTGAACCAGACATCCTATTCATAAACGCAAATCACAGGAAGCACAGTGCTATAGCGTCCTGTCCATGTGGATGCTTAAGGAGCCATTTTGACTGTGAAAAAGTGGGAGTAGGCCCATGACCAGGCACATTCTCTGTAGTAAAATCTGGGATGGCTGGAATATCTGCCACCAAGGACACTGTCTGCTTTTAATATGCATAAAAATGTATTTGTAAAATTCCCGGTTTGTCCTGAGGAAGTAGCTACTGACCCGAGAAACACATTGAGAATTTATATCCCGATACCTATTTAAACAAAATAATGTAAATGTGGTTTGCATCTGAATACCTACACTAAATTCCTCTGTATTTGGGAAAAATCTTGTACATTTTGCATATGTATGCATTGAGCAGCTTGCTCCTCTGGACCTTCATTAATGAGGTATGCATTATTGTAAATCATTTTGTGTAAGAATCTATACATGTGCCCATGTAACGTCCTAGGTATATACACTATATTGCCAAAAGCATTGGGACGCCTGCCTTTACGCGCACATGAACTTGGTCTGTAGGGTTCAATATTGAGTTGGCCCACCCTTTCCAGCTATAACTCTTCTGGGAAGGCTGTCCACAAGGTTTAGGAGTCTTTCTATGGGAATGTTTGACCATTCTTCCAGAAGCGCATTAGTGAGGTCAGGCACTGATATCGGACGAGAAGGGCTGGCTCGCAGTTTCCGCTCTGATTCATCCCCAAGGTGTTCTAATCAGGTTGTGGGTAGAACTCTGTGCAAGCCAGTCAATTTCTCCACCCCAAACTCACTCCTCCATGTCTTTATGGACCTTGCTTTGTGCACTGTTGTGCAGTCATATTGGAACAGGAAGGAGCCATCCCCAAACTGTTCCCACAAAGTTGGGAGCATGAAATTGTCCAAAATGTCTTGACATGCTGACACCTTAAGAGTTATCTTCACTGGAACTAAGGGGCCAAGCCCAACCCCTGAAAAAAAAACCCACACCATTATCCCCATCCACCAAACTTTACACTTGGCACAATGCAGTCAGGCAAGTACTGTTCTCCTGGCAACCGCCAAACCCAGACATGTGCATTGGATTGCCAGACAGAGAAGCGTGATTTGCCACTCCAGAGAACACATCTCCATTGCTCTAGAGTCCAGTGGTGGCGTGCTTTACACCACTTCATCCTATGCTTTGCATTGCTCATGGTGATGTAAGGCTTGGATGCAGCTGCTCGGCCATGGAAACCCATTCCATAAAGTTCTCTATGCAATGTTGTTGTGCTAATCTGAAGATCACATGAAGTTTGGAGTTCTTTAGCTATTGACTCTGCAGACAGTTGGCAACGGCTGGGCACTGTAAACTTCAGCATGTGCTTACCCAGCTCTGTCATTTTACGTTGGCCTACACTTCGTGGCTGAGTTGCTGTTGTTCCCAGTTGCTTCCACTTTGTTATAATACCACTAACAGTTGATCATGGAATATTTAGTAGCAAGGAAATTTCACAGATCGATTTATTGCACAGGTGGCAACCTATGACGGTACCATGCTTGAATTCACTGAGCTCCTCAGAGGGACCCATTCTTTTCAAGTGTTTGTAGAAGCAGTCTGCATGCCTAGGTGTTTGATTTTATATACCTTTGGCCATGGAGGTCATTGGAACACCTGAATCCAATGATTTGGAGGGGTGTCCCAATACTTTTGGCAATATAGTGTATTTTATGGAATGTATTACTTTTTAATGTTATGAATATATATGGTTTTATTTATAAAGTGATGGTGCCTCAAAAGTCCTGTAGCTTCTGTAGGTAAGGTTGATATATGTCTTGACTATTTGGGGCTGTGGAACCTTCTAAAATATATAAAAAAATATAGCCTTACTTCCCAATAAACTTTATACCTGAAAGAAGCACACCTAAATTGCAGCAAGCAGGATATTTTCCAAATGCCCTACAACACCTCACTGGTGAGAATGAACTATATTGGCATGAATGGAATTTTTTAAGTGCCATGAAGTTTCCATGCGTTCCAAAAAACCATCAAACTGCATGAAATTGCATCTAATGAGATTACTCAATTTGTCTTCCACTATGCTTCTAAGTATGGGTTCTTACTGCATTTCCTGTTGTAAAGCACTAAGAAATTAAAGCACTCTACATTTTGTAGGCACTACAATGAAAATAGCAGTAGCAATACCAGTAATTTTCTAATGGAAGCATGTAATGTAATGAAGATTCATGATCCACATCTTTTGTATTATTTTTTCTTCCTTCATGGATTTGACTGTCTTTATTCTCACATAATATTTGTTACTTTACTAGCAAAATTATGCAACAAAATGTAACAATTATCGTGCTGTTGAAGAAGCTTGAAGAGACATGTTGATATCTGGGAATCATGCAGAAGTTTTTAGGAATATGAATAAAACAAGTAAAATGTACCCTTTTTCTATCTTGACACCTTCTTCATCTTTAAACTTGGATTCTTCAATTTCAGGATATACCAATTTGGCGAGAGCCAGAGCACAAGGTGCAGCCATGACAGAGGCAGCAATTAGTGAGGATGGGTCAATCTGAAACGGTAGTAATCGATTTGTTCAGGATTCATCACCATATTCCATCATCAGTGTTTGTTGTTTTTTTGTGTCCCAGCTAGTCAATACATTTTTGTATGCTTATTAACAAGCGTTGTTCTGGACAGTATTATACGTTGTACAATGTGATATGAAAAGAATAAATATAAATGATAAATGACATTACACAAAATTAGGCCAGTGTTGAAAAACTGAGGAATGTCTGGGTGAATGATAACAAAGGGAAAAGAAGATGGCTGACTCTTCATGGTGGGGTACCAGCACATGTAAAAAATAGTATGTGAACTATGTTCCTAACCAATACTGTTAAAGAGGGACACACAAGTCAAAATCCTCAAGATATTTAGATATATAGGCAACTAAAGTACAGTATATAAAAATTTTGAAATCCACAGTAAAAATCAAGCTTGGCTCTACCTCTTTCCACCCATAACATCTGAGCTTTGCATATGACTTCTGTTGTCTATACCTCTGAATCTACAGATCCCATTACAAATTGTTTTTACGAACTACATCTTGTTATGCTTTTTTTTTTATCATATGTTTGAATGGTCTAGTTTTATGACATGTTTATCCACTTCATGACTGTCCACAGTATATATACTGCGGCAGCGTGGCCCCCTCAGTGCTGAATCACGTACATGGATGTGATCCAGCATTTTCAGATACTGTAGAGGGCACACGCAAGACCTCCGCCCAATCTGTGCTGTCATTCAATACAGCACAAGCCAGTCAGCTGGTCCCGGCCAATGATTTATGGTCGGACCTACTGATCGGCTTAGCGAGTCAAAGTACAGAACCCTGTGTTTACTACCAACACAGGGCTCAGTACAGAGAATAACGATGTGTCTGTTTTTTCTCCCTGCAAAACAGGAAGAAAAAATGTACATCGATTAGTAAAAGCAACACATATTAGACACATTGTGAGGCGCACAGTTAACCCTTTGATTGTCCCTAGATGTTAACGCCTTTCAAGCCAGTGTCATTAGTACAGTAAGAGTGTACAGTATGAGCACTGATCACTGTATTAGTGTTACTATTGATGTCAGCATCAGTCAGTTAGTGTCCCTCCCAGCCAGTGTCAGCTAGTGCCAAATTGCCCGCCACACTTTCACAGTCACACTATAAGTCGCTGATCATCGTCATTACCAGTATAGCTCTGTAGCTGAGTAGAAACCAGTATATACTGTATACCATAGTTTGTAGACGCTATAACTTTTGCAAAAACCAACTATTCTACACCTATTGGGATTTTTTTTTTTTTTTTTTTACGAAAGACATGTAGTGGAATATGGTTTGGCCTAAATTTATGAAGAAAGTGGAGTTTTTGATAATTTTTTGGAATATGTTTTATAACAGAAAATATTGGGGTGGTTTTTCAAAATGTTCAGTCTTTTTTTCATTTATGTAGTAAAAGATTAAAAACCCAGTGGTGAACAAATACCACCAAAAGAAAGCTCTATTCCTGTGAAAAAAAAATTATATAAATTTAATTTGGGTACAGTATTACTTGACCAAGCAATAGCCAGTTAAAGTAGCACAGTGTTGAAAAATGCCCTGGTCACGAAGAGGAAAAATGACTTCTGGAGCTTAAAGTGATACTAAAACTTTGTTTTAAATAAATAAATACCATGTCGTGCAATAGTTTTGCACACAGCTGCCCCGATCCTCTTCTGTTCAGGTCCCACACCAATGCTCTGGCTCCTCCATCTCGAGCAGTGCCCCCAGGGAAAGCTGCTTGCCATGGGGGCACCGCTATGTGCTCACTCCCGAGCTGCTGCTCTATGTGTCCATAAGACACATAAAGCTGCGGCTTGGCCTTGCCACGCTCTCTCCTTATTAGCTCACTGGCTGTGATTGACAGCAGCGGGAGCCAATGTGCTCCCACTGCTGTCCTAGCCAATGAAGAGGGAGAGTTCCTATACAGCCGAGGCTATTGTGAATGTTGCTGGATCTGAATGGGCTCAGGTAGGGATTAGGGAGGGGCTGGGGGGGGCACTGCACACCGAAGGTTTTTTACCTTCATGCATTTTTGATGCATTTCACAGAATAAATCTGCTCCTTCAGAAAATACAGGGGATCCCTGTAAATAGGTACAATACAAAATATTAATTTATAGTAATATATACATCTTACAGAATGATCGTTCCTCCTGAAAGTATCCAACAACTGATGGATGTTGTTTGACGATGGACCCCTGTACTTACTGAGAGCTACATGACGTATACTGGACATGGGGACTAAGGAAGTTAGCTGGACCCTAAGGAAGCTAGCTGGAGGGTAGTAAATGGCTATTTCTTACCCCTCTATATTATACTTTACAGAACTGGGATCTGTTGAATGTAAGTGGAGACACGTTTACACTGATGGGATTGGTTATGTGAATGATGGAGGATTGACCAAGGACACACTGATATGAAATGCGCTCAAGTCAAACCGGGATTTTTTAGTTTATATAATAAAAGAACAAATTTCAAGGAGTGGAAACTGCATTTATTTTTTAACATACCCCCCTGCTACATGTATACAATTATCCCAGCGTTTACTAATTCCTGGAAAGCTTCAGCATAGAAAGATTTGTCAGTATGCCTGAACCATCCTAGGACAACCTGCTTCACTTCGTCAAGATTGAGTTCACCTTTCCCACAGAAAGATTAGTCTCTTCTGCTGTTGTGCAATTTCATGATAGGTTGTGCGTTGATTATCCAGGGTCAAGAGTTCCACACACTGAATGTTCACAGTAATGATTGCTGCGGGCTGGGAACCACTACAGCCGGGATGGAAATACGGCCATCTTTGAAACGTTTACACTTTTATATGTCTTTTTGTGGCTGAATGTCTACTCACTGTACTGTGCTTGAAGTCTTCTGTAAATATCCTCAGGTTTTATGCCTTCGATCACAAGAAACTTTATCATCACATTTTGTTTCATGCCTGCACTAACACTTTTGTCTGCCATCTTGATTGGGACACTCTTGTCACTTAGTACTGCCACGCTAGCATCCCTTTTTATACCTGTAAAATTAAAAGTCTCACTTTGACTTGAATGCCCCTTGTATTATTATATCATTAATGAATGGATTGATTTGGGATATATTAAGTCAGAGAACACAGTGATATGAGAATTGGCTGGGTATCAAGTCAGAATAGGGCTTGCTGCTCTGGACCTTTGTTAATGAGGTATGCATTATAGTAAATCATTTTGTGTAAGAGTCTATACTTGTGCCCATGTAACATCCTAGATATATAAACTATATTGCCAAAAGTATTGGGACGCCTGCCTTTACACGCACATGAACTTTAATGGCATCCCAGGCTTAGTCCGTAGGGTTCAATATTGAGTTAGCTCACCCTTTGCAGCTATAACAGCTTCAACTCTTCTGAGAAGGCTGTCCACAAGCTTTAGGAGTGTGTCTATGGGAATGTTTGCCCATTCTTCCAGAAGCGCATTTGTGAGGTCAGGCACTGATGTCAGACGAGAAGGCCTAATCTGAAGGCCACATAAAATTTGGAGGTCTTTAGCTATTGACTCTGCAGGCAGTTGACGACTTCTGCGCACTGTGCGCTTCAGCATGTGCTGACACCGCTCTATCATTTTATGTAGCCTACCACTCCATGGCTGAGTTGCTGTTGTTCCCAGTTGGTTCTACTTTGTTATAATATCACTAACAGTTGACTGTGGAATATTTAGTAGCAAGGAAGTTCACAGATGCAATTATTGCATGAGTGGCAAGCTATCACAGTACCACGCTTGAATTCACTGAGCTCCTGAGAGCAATCCATTCTTTCATAAATGTTTATAGAAGCAGTCTGCATGCCTAGGTGCTTGATGTTATACACCTTTGGCCATGGAGGTGATTGGAACACCTGAATCCAATGATTTGGAGAGGTGTCCCAATAGTTTTGGCAATATAGTGTATTTGTATACAGTGCCAGTGCAAGGATTTTTTGTCTACCCAGGCGAAGCTGCATGTTACTGTTTTGACTTTAGTTATTATGCTTTAATTATTTATATATGAAAATAAAAAAGTAGGAAAGCATCTTACCCCAAAGGAAATATATGCACCCATTACACTTCCAGCAATGGTCCCAAAGCCCCCAGTCATTACAGCATGGATTTCAGACTTGGTCATATCTGGCAAATAGGGACGGATCAGCAATGGTGCCTCAGTCTAAAATTGCAAAACAATAATAATATACATGAAAGGTACAACCCTTACTAAATGTATAAGCTGAATAAATGCCTCCCAGAGAGACACAAGAAAATTAAAGAAAGAATATAAACTTTAGTTAGTGTGAGATCCTTCAATCATTTACATATCAGAACAGAACAGACTGATTGTACCTTACCTGCCCAACAAAGATATTGCCAGCTACACTCAGCGTTTCTGTGGCTGTTGTTCCCATTGTAACTTGCATGAGCCAAGAAATCTGCAAACATAGATGATTGTTAGTTTAAACAGAAAAAAGTCTCAATTACTTGATTAGACACTAGATATTAAACAAATGCTATTTATACAATTTTTCAGATATAAAATTAAAATCAGTTCTAATGCTAACAAATACTATTGAAATCTGGGAAGAAGATTTTGGTAGAGTAGTAAGTACTGTTGGAGAACCATATACTCAAAATGATCCCAATTATGCTTTACAATTAACCCATTAACATGCTCCAAAGCATTTAGTTATTTTCAAACTACATACCTTAAGAATGACATACTGCATTATACCAGTATAGTATAGGATAGACATGACACAGCTAAAAAAGACCACAATAGGGAGGGCCTGTAAATGAAAAAACAACAGTGTTATTCAGTATAAAAAAATCATAACTAACAATAAGCTGTTATGGCCTTGAAAGGACACCATTAAAGTATTTTAACACATGCTGTCTGTGCCTTTCTTCGATGACATGGCAATGTTTCACGAAGTGCAGAATGTGAATCACTAGTGGTGCACAATCCACTCAGTGTATATTGTATCCTGTGTGTAGCCCGACATGCAGACAAATCCTCCTATTTTACAGTAAGCAAAACTGTGTGTATAATAGTCTGAAGGATTTATTTAATTAATAGTTTAAATTAAGCTGCATACGTCTAAAAAACACAGTTTTTTTCGCTTCCAAATGCAGTTTGTGGCTCCTCTATGAATGAAGGAAATAATTTAATATTAAAGACAAGAAAGATACATTTTCTTTCTTAAAAGCTAACTCCACCTTTTGAACCATGTCTCATGTTACACCCACATCTAAGGTGCAACATGAATTGTCATTACCAGAGTTCACAGCTCCCACACACTCAAATGGTCAATCTGGCCAACAGCCACATCAACAATTTACAGAGAGTTGCCCCAGAGGGACTCATAGATCTCATTGGAACACAAGAGTGGTGGTGTCACCACTGCTGTAGTCTATTGATACTTCCTCTAGCCCCATAACTGAAGGTTCATCCTGTGGTAAGGACCTGAGCTGGAGGGAGTCTGCAGGAGCCAGAGAATTACACTCATGATCTTACGATTTTGATTGCAATACTTAAAGGCTCAACTGCAAATTAAAAAAGAAATGCACACTGGTGCATTTTTATTTTGCAAATGGTGGAGTTTTCCTTTGAATCAAAATGCCCTCTGCAAGACATGTTATGTTATGTCAATGTGTTCAGATGTATGGATCTAAAGGTGGCCTTAGCCATGGTATGGTTATATGGGCAAATCCAACCTATTTTTCATCCTCATCTAATCTTGAAAGAAATTGTAAGTGACTATTTAGGGTCATTTCAACCAACAACCATTGTTTTTCTCAGAGAGAAGTGGCTGTGTTGATGTCTGATTGTTCTTACCTTCCTGATTTCATATGCATACCCATGTATGCACAAATAATCCAAACATTTTTATGTGATGGCTTGTAAAGATAAATGTATTGTGTATTTGGATCATGCCTGCATGCTCCAAAAATTCAAGAACACCTAACACCTAGAATGGGGCTCTTATTTTGTCACTACGAACCTGAAAAGCGAAAACTTCTTTTATCAGTGTTTCTCCAAAAACGAATCCTGACCCAGCTGTTGTGTAATTCAGAAAAATCTGCAAAAGACAAATTGTACGTTACAGCCACTACTTATCATCTTATTCAGGAATGTACATAGTTAAAGAAAATATGCATTAAAAAAAATAGAAATGAAATATGATGACCCTGGACTATACTGTAATAAAAATAATGTTACCTGAATTTGTTCACCAAGAAACTTGAAGGCCTGGTACCCTGGATCAGTGCGAATGATAAAGATACCCAAAACAAATTCAAGTCCCAGCCCCCAAGACACCGCTCGCCAACGCACCTAGGAAACACAGAACACTTAGGAATACGGTGCAGCAGACAGAATGCAAATTTTGGATACAGTTTTCCTTTGACAGTAAACCTTTCCTATATACTAGTAAATTATCTAGTTTATAGCAGTTTTATTGTAAACATGCCAAACAATATTAATCTGCTAAGATCCAGCAACAGGATAAACTAATACATGAAAGAAAATGGGGTCAGGGTAAAATTTTTGTTTGAAATGTGTCAGAGTTAATGTCACAATGCCAATTCCAATTTTGGAACTGCTGGCCATCTTATCAAGTGCACTGTAAATTGTTTTTACTATTTTGGCATCTGGATTAGAGATGAGCGAATTATTCAAAAATTCGATTCGGCTGATTCGCCGAATTTGCGGAATAAATTCGATTTGATGCGAATTTATTCGCTGCGAATTTAACTTATTAAAAGGGTTTCTAGGCTTCAGAGAGCCTTTATATTAGTGCAGAACACTGTACCTTTAATTTAAAATGCCTTGGAGTCTGCTGGGGAAGAGAAATAATACTGTCAGTCAGTATGACATGCAGATGAGTACCGTCGATCTTAGAATCACCGCACAGTTCACTCATTTGGGCAGTCACCGGGCCAAAACCAGAGTGTGGAGCCACAGTGTGGCGGTGGAGGCAGCAGCAATGGGAGGCCATACAGCACCCTATGACAAAATGGAACCCACCAGCAGTGTGAGGAGACCTGAAAGTGGCACATGGCAGAGTGTGGCGATGGAGACAGCAGCAATGGGAGGCCGTACAGGGACCCAGGACACACTCTGGACCTGGCAGCAGCATGAGGAGGCGGTACAGGGGCCCATGGCAGAGTGGCGAAGCGTAAGCAGCTTAAATTGAAGGCCATACAGAGGCCTATGTTAAAAAGTCCCCCCAGCAGCAGTGTGGGGAGACGACTATCAAGAGTCCAATGGCAGAGTGGCGGAGCAGAAGCAGCTTCAATTGAAGAAGAAGAGGATGAGGATAAAGAAGAAGAAGAGGATGAGGATGAAGAAGAAGAAGATGAGGATGAAGAAGAAGAGGATGAGGATGAGGATGAAGAAGAAGAAGAAGAAGAAGAGGATGAGGATGAGGAAGAAGAAGAGGATGAGGATGAGGATGAGGATGAAGAAGAAGAAGAAGAGGATGAGGATGAAGAAGAAGAGGATGAAGAAGAAGAGAAGAGAATGAGGATGAAGAAGAGGATGAGGAAGAAGAAAGAAGAAGAAGAAGAAGAAGAGGATGAGGATGAGGATGAAGAAGAAGAAAAAGAAGAAGAAGAAGAGGATGAGGAAGAAGAAGAAGAAGAAGAAGAGGATGAGGATGAAGAAGAAGAAGAAGAAGAAGTAGGATGATGAAAATAAGAAGAATTTCTATTCCAGCAAAAAGTGTATCTGCAGAGAGCTCCGCTATTTCTGACAGTTCTCTGACAGTTCCTTCACATTTACAGCGGTTGAAACATTGTATCTATTTGTTTCCGAATAAAAACATCTGTATCCTAAATGGAAACAAATAGATACAATGTTTCAACCGCTGTAAATGTGAAGGAACTGTCAGAGAACTGTCAGAAATAGCGGAGCTCTCTGCAGGGACACTTTTTGCCGGCTGTAGAAGGGATGAAAATCGGCCGATCGGGGAAAATTCGATTCGTGCATCCGAAGTTTGCTAATTTTCGGATTCGGCGCGAATCAAATTTTTCCTAATATTCGAAACGAATTCCACTTCGCCAAGTTTGATTCGCTCATCTCTAATCTGGATGCATCTTCATTGTAATTTAAGTGATTTTTAAGCAATTTTAAAATAAAATTACTATACTATATACAGCCCCTTTTGTCCGGCTCCTTGAAGTGAGCGCTCTTTTATACAGTGGCGGTGTAGATGGTTCAAAATCCTTTAGTGATGTTTGTTGCTACTACAAGGAGACTCAACAAGTGTGAATGGAGCTGGAGGACTGTACAGGTAGAGTAGTCATTGTGTGATACAAATGTGTTGTTGGCTGCATTAGCATCTGGGAATCTGTTGGGTGTGGAAGTGTTTCCATTCACAAGCAGTGATGGATAATTCAGACGGTGGAAGTCACAGATTTGTTTACTAGACTCTGAATGGACTTTTTAAATTTATTTTCTTTTTTTTTATATTTTACTTTTGCTGCTTACTTTATTTCTTTACTATTTGGCTATCACATGTTGATATTTATTTATGTGATATAGTACCACTTTGAGATTATATTCACACTTAGGTACCGCACATCGGCTTTTACAGATTACAATTTTGTATAGATCAACCAATATCAACCTGGATCAACTGTGGGTATAGAATTATAACTTTTTTTTTCTATGTTTGAACTGGATGGACTTTTGTCTTTTTTCAGCCAGACTAACAATGTAATATTCGACAGAAATCATAAACATTTTATATAAACCCTGCTTCTTCAGGGGTTCAAAATTGTAATAAAAATAGCATATTTCTATAATTCATTCTCTAGTTAAAAACATTGTTTTATATCTGTGTGTGTGTGTATATATATATATATATATATATTTGTTACTACAGGACCCTAACTATAATACGGCAAAATCAGACATTTCTCTCAGGTGGCACCATAACTTCTCTTCTCTCTTTTTTATGTGTCATTAATGCAGCAGGGCAGGAGAGAAATTGAATTGTAGAAAACAGAGTCAAATGTGTGGATGATGACGGGTATTCAGAAGCACAGTCACCAGGCCTTGTTGGCAAATTATGAACCCAGCTGGTGCTCCAATAAAAAGCCCAGTCAATGTCAGTATACCAGAAATGGACAGAAATTTCATGTACTTTTGGAAAAAAAAATCCTTGCACAGATTTAACTATATTCACATTTCACGTATTGTTCTATAACATAGGAGCTTAATAAAGGGATTTAGTTTTTATAGCATTTAAACATTTAAAAATGAATCCACTTACGGCACGGTGGTGCTTGGACACAAGAAACAGAAAAACAACAAACATGCAGACACCACCGAATGATATAAGATGTGCTGGCTTTTTAGCTGTGTCCAGTGCTAACCAAAGAATGAGACCGATAAGAACCAATGCAGCAAATGCCCTAAAAAAATAAACTTCACATTAAAAGTGACACCAAAGTAATGAGAATTTATCTGGACATGTATATTTTTTTTAAATACTCTTTATTTAAAATACATAAAGGATGCATTTATTATGACTAATTAAAAATGCTATATATTTAATTTTCCTAAGAAGATATATCATTGAAATGATCTTTTGTACTGTACATGTTGGCACTTGGGATCCTATTGCCATAACAGCTAATTTTTCAGATTTTTTCACAAAAATTAGTTCATCTTCCTGATGCATATAGCTGTTATTTCATGAAGAAGCTGTCCATTGATCATGGGCCAAACAATAACTTCTATTTCCACCTTTGACTTTCCCTTCCCTTACTCAGTAAGCCCCATGTAATATGTAGGGTTAGATAATAGCACTATATTCACTATAAACATTAATGTCATAAACATAAAGTGTTACTAAACCACAATAGTAAAATCAGTCTGTATATGCAGTAAAGCATGCTTGTTATACTCACTGTGGAAGATAAGGGGTAATCCTCTGCATTGTGTAAAAAGGCTGTTTGATCCTGTCTTCTCTGATCTTCCTGTTCTTCCACAGTCCCCAATCCCTCTGCTGATAGTGCAGAGCCTTAGGAGGCACTCTACACATGCTCAGTTTGGTGTGTATTGCTAGAGAGTTTTGTTGTTGTTTTTTTAGGGGGGGGGGTGCATGTGATCATCACAGGGCCAATCAGCACTGTCCAGACAGAGGGTCAAGGATCATGTAGCCTCAATGGACAGTCAGAGGACAATGAAAACTCCTTGTACGAACTTTAACCAGCGCTTGGCCGGACATTGATAGTCACAAGACTGCTTATACTTCTGATGAGAAAAGGTATTTAGCAGTTTATATTTACTAAAATAATTGCATTTCCATCTTCTGTGTACTGTGGGTGAGCAGATATAGTGAATGCAGAGTCATGGATTTAGTAACACCTAAGTTTTTTTTTTGTGCCAAGAACTATTGCTAACATCACACTGAGTACAGTGCCTAATAGTGAAGTAATTTATTGCTTGGTCATGCATAGGTATCCTGAGCATGATGTACAGGTAAGTAAAACATCTAATTCTACTTTACATGGCAATTTCCAAGTTCCACTTGCTACACAGTGGGGAGGATTCCTCTATCCACCAAGCTGGAAGAATCTGTTCAATTTTTTTCTTTCAGCACACTGGCTGATCAAAAAAAGAATCATCAATGCTCAGCTTGACTCTGGTTTATTTAAAGCAAAAAAAAACTATGACAAACACTAGCTGTAGCATGCCTGACATATTCCGTCCATGGACTTCATCAGCTTATAAAGAACTACTTCCTTAAAACAGCTTAAAAATAATCCTTATCAGGGATGGACTGACCATTTGGAAACTCAGGCACTGCCCAAGGGCCCGGGGTCAGTAGGGGGCCCCATGAGATGCCCCTGGTACCTTTTTCATAGGCTTTTTTGAGTTTGGGCAAGGACACAGGGGTCCCATGATCCCCTATTGCCCGGGGACCCCATGAGTTGTCAGTCCACCCCTGATCCTTACTTTGCCCAATTCATATTAACCCTTTCAATGCCTAGTCCATGTTTACATTAGACCTCCACCATACCTAATATTTAAATCTAACACATATAACATCTCTAAAAAACATAAATTAAAATATACAATAGTCTCCTATTGCATGTCACTTCACTGTACACTATTATTCGTATTCAACATGGAATATGCTTTATTACATTGTTCTGGCATACAACTGTAGCATCCTCCTAGATAGGCGCCAGGATAAGTAGATAATATTTGGTTCCTCTACTTAGGAGAACTGTTAGGAAAATCTACTTTGGCTTTCTGCTTAACAGATAGCTGAAATTGTTAAATAGTGCTTTCTCAGTGTGTTCAAGTTCTGCAAGTTCTGCCTCTGACTTCCTATGTATCCAAGTAATCTAGGAAGGTTCTGAATGTATAGTTGGAACTCGTGCAAAACACAGTATGACTATTAATGCCATTCCAGCCAATCCCAGGGAGTGGAGCCCTGAAGAATGCTGGGAGAGGCTATTTATTCTTTAGGCACATAGAGGCCTGGGTGTTTCCTGGAGAGGAGTGCACCAGCTTGGGGGAAGGCATGCTGCCTCCCTAGGTACCTGCTGCCATGCGACCTCAGGTGGGCTACCTGAGGGCCTAAAGTAAGAGAGCGACAGTGACTCTGGTTCTTCAGTAAACTGACAAAGGGGAGCTGTCTACCAAAGATCTGTCTGGTATCACTGGAGGGTATGACTTGGAAGATTGGAAAGAGGCTTTCAAGGCTACCATTCTGTCTTTGGGCCTTGTGAGTACAGACACTGTTGGATCTTGTGTGACTCTGTGTGCTTTGCTCCCCCTCTGGTGCCATGAAGAGCACTGTCATTTTAACTTCTTCCTAACATTGGAACTTTGCTGAAGGCTGCTGCTTAAGGAAATCCTGTCCTCAACTGTAATTAGTTATATTCCTGGAGTATCCTTCTAAATTCCCCATCCCTATCCAAGTTCTCCAGTAATAAAACTACAAAAACAAAATTCCTAGACTGATTGTTGGAGACAATGAGCAAAAGTTTGTGTGCACCTGGCTGTGAAACTACCATGTGCCTGGCTGCGGGTTGAAATTACTACAGTGACTCCCATGGGGGTAAGCGCTGCACAGCATAAACAAATAAAGGTTTTTCAGAAACACTGGACTGTATTAGGGAGATACCCTATTTAGGTACATGTATACTTGATTTCCCCAGTGTTAACCTATATAAAGGCCTCTAATTTGAGAGATCCTATTTCTCTTGGGGATATTGAACAACCTATTAACCTAAGGGTACTATTAAGGATATACAAGGTTTTGTTAAGATATGGCCAATGTTAGTGGGCAAAAAATAGAAGAAAGACCTCAATAGCAGATTTCAAAACTAGAAAAGAAATAAACGTTCACCAGTTTATTACTTGTGTTGCCCCTCTACACTCCCCCATCCTATACCATCCTGGGGTATGCAGAGAGCTGATATTCAATTCTCAAGGGGAATCCTGGCCTGAAATTGTGGGTTTGTAAATAATTGGGCCAGAAGTGCCGGTGACACCTAATGGCAGAAGGGAGAATTGACAGTCAGACTGCACTTAAGGGTAATTGAGCGAAAGAAAACTACACGTAGCACTGGCTGGTTATAGCTATGCAGAATAAATTTAGGCGTCACTCCTGCATATGAAAGAGTGGCTACACTTGTGACGGCAGATATGTGATATATGTTTTAGAGTGCCCTTGCGGACACTTTTACATTGGCTGCACTACCCGTAGATTGAGAGATCGAACTGAGCTCATCTACTATATTGAAACAAAGAGAAAAAAACCCATAGTGTTCTGTATTGCAAAAAATTTAAGAATGCTGACCCTAAGGGGAGAAAAATCTCTAAATGGAAAAAACAGAAATGTAAATAGAGAGGAAAGTCCAAGAAGAGAAACGTTCTGGAATCATAACTGAAATATACTGAAACCAGTGGGATGAATATAGATAAAGAATTGAATTGTTTATTGAGAAAACAGATAGGTTTGGGAAATAAATGTGGGTACCATCTGATGTTGGAGGCTAAGCACAGTTGGGCCTTGTTAATTCTTGAATGTATGTAAGAGGATGTATTTGTTTTTTAATCATATTTTTAATACATGTGATTTTATGTATAATGCATATTGAATGATTTTAATAAAATTATGTTTATTATTGATGTTATACATATACTGTATGTGTTATGCTAAGACATTATGTAATAAGGATTTTTGATGCTGTAATCCTGTTTATCTGATATGAAGCTCGAAGGTGGCCAAAGAGCTAGGAGGAGGAACAGCAGCATGGGGCAATTACAATTGCTACTAGTGATTACCTGGAGAACCAGTGAATAAGAGGCGGCAGGTTTAAATACCTACATCAATACAGGTCTAACGTTTCTGGTGAGTGCTGAATCAGATGGGTATTTGTAATACAAAGCATGGCTATTTGAGTACTATATTTGTTATCTGAATACCCAGGAGTGGGAGAATGAGCTGCGACTGGACATCAATATATACAAGTTCTGTGTTGATATTTATGAACTGTATGAGAAGAAGTTCAGTCCACAAGTGTGATAAATGGAAGTTTGCACTCTTTAGGTTTCATCAAGCAGGATTCTTCCCCCTCTTTGCAACTTACCACTTAATCCATTTTTTGTATTTTCCGAAGAATCTTCCAAGTGGTTTTAGAAAATTTTTGATTATGTTGCCATATAACTTCACCACAAGATCATAAGCGAGAAAGAAAAGAACAACGCATGTTATAACCACCAGTGCCACAGCACGATTAAAGTTCAGCACACAAGCTGCAATGAAATAGGCCGCATAACCTGGTAAACAAAGAAGAGTGAATGAGAAAACAAGCAAGCAATAAGAAAATACATTAATTTAATAATAAGAAAATACTGCACAATGCATTTTATAAGGTTCTTTCAAGAAAGATTTATATATGAACTGCGCTACTTTTTCAAACAACTTGCTGGAAAAGAGACCTGCACTCCCATGGTGTATTTAGACCTCTTGAAAACATATAACACATATGAATGGCAGCAAGGAGGGTAGACCTTAACATCCATAGTGTCCATGCTGGCTGAGGTTTCTGTGCTGTGAGCTACTGGTCTCTGTTTGTGACTAGTAACCACCAGAATGGGCTCCCGATCATGTGACCAATGTGACAGCCAATCAAAATAATCACATGAGTGGGAATTCTGCCCCACCTACTGCCATTAAGACCCAGTTAAAGGGCCGCGGGGGGGGGGGGGGGTGCAGGAAAGGATAAGCAAGAAATTCATGTATTAGGGATGTTAAAAAGAGACAGTTTACAACTGTTAGAGTTCCTGCTCTCTCAGTGCTGCTTCCTTAAACTTCCAGTCTTTACAGGAAACAGTTAACAATGGACAGTGCAATCTTGAGCCAGTCTGTTGGCTTGGAGAAGGGGGGGGAGAGATTGGGCTGTGTGTTTCTATTGATGAAACAATGTACGGAAAACACAACTCTAGTCCCTGCATACAAGGGCAACTCCAGAGGATGCTGGAATAGAAAGGAGGGCAGGAAACCTGTTTAGTCCTGTTAGGTCACCATCGGCTTACATTGGCCTAGGATTTAAAGTGGTATTAAACCCAAAAGCAAACATTTATTATAATGCAGCTTACAATTTCTTAGATGTGATCAGGGTCGGGAGGGGCTGAGCAGGATCCTGTCCTGGGCAGAGTGTTAAGGGGGGTGTACTGGCGACTTAGCTGCTTGTGCCGCTCCTCACTGACAGAGTAATTCCCTCATCTTGCCACTACACTGGCATCTGCTCGGGAGATGATTCTGGTGTTTTCCTCTATCCAGCCTGTAGGTGGAGATGAAGAGCCTGTACTGAGACTAGAAACTCAGGACAACACTGCTCTGCTGAGTAGTGAGGGCACACTGCTCTTCTCATTGGCTCTCCCCTTGTCATGTGACATGTCACATGACTAGAGATGAGAAGAAGACACTTCCAGCATGTTAACTGTGAGTACAACGGGAAGGGGAGGGCAAGTAAGCCTTAGACCTCCCCTCTCCTCCTCAGACCCCCCCCAACACACCCTCTCCTCCTCAGACCACCCCACACTCCCCTCTTTTCCTCAGACCACCCCACACTCCCCTCTCCTCCTCGGATCTCTCCACACCTCCCTTCTCCTCCTCAGATGCCCCCACACCCCCTCTTTTCCTCAGAGCCCCCCTATATCTCCCCTCTCCTCAGACCACCCCACACCCCCTCTTTTCCTCTGACCAGGAAGGGCTGGGTAGTTCACTTTATACAGCAAGGTGATATTGATGCCTAAGTAAGATAAGGATGGGGACTAGAGATGTAAAATTTCCAGAAATTTTTAAGCCGTGGAAAAAAAAAGTTTTTTCCCTGTTTTTTTTCCAGAAAAAAATTGAAATTTTTAAAACATTGAAAAAGTGAGGAGTAGTTATACAAATTGAAAGTCATTTTGTTACACTGGGAAGGTGAAATGCAGTGTATATAAAAGTATTATGCTTTAAATAAAAGAACAGCTTATTCAGTAAATGAATCAAACTTGCTTTTTAAAATTGTATTTTTTATACAAATGGAATAACAAGGACTGTGTATGTTAAAACATTTTAACTATTCATGAGAACAGGTAACCACCCCCTTTTCCTCATAATAATGTATAACCTTCCTGCCAATATGCATTTTTAGAGAGTTATTGACAATGATGATCCACAAGCATATATTGCTCTTGCAAGAGCTTGATCAATGTTTTCCTGATTTTCAGGGATTGTGTATTTTTGGGAGGCCGTGGTTTGCAACACTTCTTTACTTGAAGATGCTGCTGGTAAAGGACCACTTTGTGATGATCCAGTAGCAGCAGAAAGTGTGTTTCTGTGTTTTCTGGAGTGAGAACTCTGGAGGGAAAAGCTACTTGCACTTACTTAAATTACTTTTTTAGTGTTGTTGGGGCACTTTTGGCATGACAGGATGTGTTTTGTCATCCTTGTAGCATTTGGAAAAGACTATTTCTTCTCAAATATTTGCAAATTGCAGCTTTGCTCTCAGAAGAAATTGCACTGTGGAAATGTTTTGAAACTCTAGATTTCGGTCTCACCATTTTACTGGGAGGAGGAAAAGAAAAAACTATTTACTGACCAGACTATAGATAAACATTATGCTGTGATGGTGGAGAACATTAATAGGAATAATTTAAAGGTTATAAAGATAAACTACGGTAATTTGTCAGACAAATTTACCCTCGTACATGTCAATTAAGACCTGAGAGGACAAAAACTATTATCTACTGTATCCCAACAATCACCCAACTGTAGGAGGTGCAATATGGAGTCTGCATGCAAACTAAACTGGAGCCTTTCCTCTGCAGTGCCTCTAGTGGCAGAACTGCATATTTCTCTTGTCTGAGAACTGCATTGAGAAGTACAGTGTTACTTGAACTGTACTCCTGGTTTGATTTTCTTTGGCTGAGAGAACTTGCAATAATATAACACTTTACATAAAGTCTCAGAAAGGTTTCATTAAGGTCTTCATGTTATATAGTTTGATTACCATGTCATGGATATTATTTATCATTGTAAAAGAACATATTCCACACTTCTGGTTTTTTTTTTCATTTTTTCTGAAAAAAAAAACAAAAAATGACTTTGAAAAATAATGGAAAAAAACTCTTTTTCCCAATTTGTAATTTTTTTTTCTTCTCGAGCCTTCCCATCTCTAATGGGGACCAAGTGATTTGGAGGCATAATCAGGAATTTAGAGTGATATTTAAAGCTGTGGATTCTGCTTTGTTGACTTTAAATCCTGAAATTATAGCAACGTCTAATAGAGTATTACAAAGATCTGGCAAAGTAATGTGTGGAGTGAGAATATTCAATAAGGTATCATCAGCAAATAACATGATTTTTTTTGCTGGGTATCTGCAAACTCAAGATCAAGAATCAAGAAGAGGATCTTAGGCAAAGAGGATTGAGGATAAGGGACAACCCTGTTGAAACTAATGAAAGGGTTAGAGCTTAAACCCCCATATTTTAGAGATGCTGAGGGATTTGCATATAGAGCCACAGAATATTTACAAGGAGTAGCCAGCAATGGCATCTTACATATTTCTTTCACTACCAGTTACCACTAACACATCCATCAAGTCCCATTTTTTTTGTTTGTTTTTGGGTTTTTTTAATGACTGTTTTCTTTCATAGCAATGTGATGGAGGTGATTAAACTCCAAATAAAACCTTGGCAAATGTCTGGGCAAATCATGTATTCAGACTGTATGCCCCCCAGTTAGCATCTAGGCCTATAGCAATGGTGGGGCCCTGTAGCCAATGCATATAAAACCTACCCTTATATTAGCAATCGAAAGCAACAGATAAATATGATTTATCCTTCATGCAGCAACTAAAATTTCTAGTTCTCGAATCTCTTATCTCTTTTCTAAAACAAGACAATTAGTGCAGAGCTGCAGTTAGAAACCATGGGGTACCATACAGCCAACCTGACAGGGCCCCCTTAAAAAAAAACACAGTTTACTATGTTGCAGTTATGAATGAACACAGTGAGTGATCAGTACTGATAATTGTGTTTATTCAAGAAAAGAAGGGGCCGGTTAATAGAATATAATTAATGAATCCTTCCCCTACTCTCCATTGTGAAGGATCGTATTGTGTGCTTGCAGCTGCCGGTGGGAAGGAGAGAAGGGAAGCCGGCACAGTGGGGGCCCAGGCAACAGGGTGAATCAGATGTGCACAGGGAGGGTGATCGGCATTAGGGGTGGTGGAGAGGGGCAATTCCTGGAACTGATTCCTTGTATGGCTCTCTATGCTGCAGCTGAAAACCAGTGGGAGGGAGAGGAGAAGAATCCAGCTTTCAGATGCTGCTGCAGCGAGAGCCATTCAGGGGACCAGTTCCAGTAATTGTTTCCCCACCATGCCAATCACCTCCCCTGCCCACATCCAATTCACCCAGCTGCCTGGGCCCCTCTGATGGCCTGGGCCCCCTACAGGTGGACTGGTGGTACCTCCTTATCCACGACCCTGAATTAATGCATGTGTCGCTGAACTTTGGGCTTGTGTGAATGTATAAATAAAGCTTGCTCTTGACATCGGTTTGAAACACATCCGAAATAATTTAAAATTCACCGACAATTGCATTTTTGCATTTCATATTTAAAATGCTTCAAGCTCCTTTTGAATTCCCATAGACTTGTAAGAGGTGAGAAGTAGTTCTGATCAAAACAAAAGTCATACCACTGGCAGGTTATGGTGAAGAGAACAAAAAAATGCCACAAAATAAAAATACTGTATTGATGTATTTTTAACTAAACATATTTAAATCTCATCTGTTCCACTCCAGTTTTTCATAAAATTTACTTTTTATGGACAACTACATAACTGATGTTATTAAACGCTTTGGCATTCACCCCAGAACTGTATCTTTATAGCACAATACAGCTTATGAAAGTATTAAACCTGCATACAGCTGTTTCCAACATGTTAGCACTTGTCATTGCAATATACTATGGGATTGATCTACTAAAGGCTAATAGACTGTGCACTTTGCAAGTGCAGTTGTACTCTGCAAGGACATTTACTCCAGAGCTTAGTGAATGATGTGAAGCTTCACATTGCAAAGAATATCCAATCATGTGCAAGGAGAATACAAAAAAACTTTAGTTTTGTTTACATATGATTGGATGATAGAAGTCAGCAGAGCTTCCCTTTGTTTACTAAGCTCTAGAGAAAATGCCCTTGCAGAGTGCAACTGCACCTGATAACTGCACAGTTCTTGTCTTTAGTAAATCAACCACTATGACAATGGAAAGGGGTATGGGAAACAACTAAATTAAAGGAAGGAGGTCAAAAAGCAAACAATAAGTGCTACACTAAAATGCTCAGAAGAATATGTACTGGAAAGCCTAGGGCACGGGTGTCAAACTGGCAGCCCTCCAGCTGTTGCTAAACTACAAGCCCCATGAGGCATTGCAAGATTGACAGTTACAAAAATGACTCCCAAAGGCAGAGGCATGATGGGACTTGTAGTTTCACAATAGCTGGAGGGCCGCCAGTTTGACACCACTGGCCTAAGGTTTGCAAAGATTTGAAAATGTGTTTGTTTTCAGATGCTGAAGAGGAATGGATACACCGTAAATAGGCCAGTAACTATGGCTTGATTATCCAAGAAGGAAGACTTTCAAGAGATGTTTGTAGGCAATGGTTACCTGCACAGAGGATGGCAATTATAATGTATTTTATAATACGGGAATGATTCTTGGCATATTCTGCAGCTCTGTCATATGGCTCAGCTATTTTGCTACAAAAGGATCAAAATAACAATGTTAGACTTTCAAACAGTAACTATAATTTAAGGGAAAAAAATTAATATAAAAATAAGCTTAGACTGAAAAAAACATATTGAATTTACTGTGTTTAACTACTCCACCGGGAAATTTTCATACAGATTTAGCCCCAGTACACCTCAATGCGGATTTAAAGTCACGCAACTTTGACAGCTGACTAATCTGTGTGACTTTATTGCTTGCTGACACTCAGTGTGACTTCATTAACCACTTGCCCTCTAAATATACTCCCCTTCCTGACCAGGCCATTTTTTGTGATATGGCATTGCATTATTTTAACTGACAATTGCACGGTCATGCAACACTGCACCCAAATAAAATTTATGTCCTTTTTTTTCCTACAAATGGAGCTTTCTTTTGGTTGTATTTGATTGTCTCTGCATTTTTATTTTTTGTGCTATAAACAAAAAAAGACCGACAATTTTGAGAAAAAAAAAAACAATATTTTTGACTTTTTTCTATTAAACATGTCCAGTAAAAAAATTTAAAAAATCTAATTTTGTCATAAATTTAGGTCAAAATGTATTCTGCGACATGTTTTTGCTAAAAACAAATCTCAATACATGTAAATTAATTGGTTAACATGAAAGTTAGAGCATCTACAAATGGCGGTATATATACTGGAATTTTTTTTGTTTTATACTAGTAATGACGGCGATCAGCGACTTATAACAGGACTGCAATGGGCATTCTGACACTGGGGGGAACTGACTAACTGTCACTGACATCCCCAGTGACACTAATACTGTGATCAATGCTGATAAAAAGCACTGACACTGTACTAATGACACTGGGCAGGAAGGGGTTAACATCTAGGGCTATCAAAGGGTTAACTGTGTGTGTTTTGCTGTGTGTGGGTTTTACAGTGTAAGTACATTGCTTTTTATTGCTCTGCTATGCAGAGCAATACAAAGCTGTGTGCTGGAGCTGACAGGGGAGAGATTTGTATTGTTACATACAGACCTCTCCCCCGTCAGTGATACTCAGCGATCTCCAGGTGCCAGCGGGGAATCACTGATCGACAGCTTAAGCCTCCAACGGCAGCTCGGGTAGGGCTCGCGTTCGCCCCCTACCTGGAAATACAAAGTCATGTATATATACGTGAATTTACGCAGCCCTGCCACCCTGTAGCAGAATTTCTACTATAGGGCAGTGGGCAAACGGCTCACAGATGCCAATGCAAGTCACAATGAAGTCGCACAAAAACAGTGCAGGAACCTTTTTTAAAGTTGCTGTGACTTGAGTCACACTGATTAGAATGGGCCATTGCCAGTAATGGGATGCAAATTTCGAGTCACATGACAAGTCACACTGATGTGAACCAGGGCTTAGTCCACACAGAGCCTTATGCACACAGACCACCTACCTTTAGTAGGAGAAATCGATCTGCAAGGAATAAACAAACTTAATACTTGCCAGATTTATTTCTTCTGCTTGTTTTTACATGCATCTAGGTGTAAAAAAACTGGCTAAAAGGTCCCAGAATGCAGACACTTCTTGTGAAATTGTATTTTGTAAACACAGATTGAATGCAAATAGATGCATCTGAATGTCAAGATATGAATTCCATCATTGCAAAACATAATATGCTTCCAGATGCATTTAGAAATTGGCTCTAAAGACATCTAAATGCACATATATTGATGCCTGTGCACATAGGGCCTAAGGATCAATATGATACTCTAAAGGACTCAAACCCCAAAAGGCCTTTATTTTTACTTTTTGATCATCTAGCCCACAGGTGTCAAACTGGCGGCCCTCCAGCTGTTGCCAAACTACAAGTCCCATGAGGCATTGCAAGATTGACAATTACAAGCATGAATTGCAAAAGGTGGAGGTATGATGGGACTTGTAGTTTTTGAAGCAGCTGGAGGGCTGCCAGTTTGACAGCCCTGATAAAGAGTAGGAATGAGTGAACCAGGCATTGTTGGGTTCACAGGAGCTTCTGAAGACCCAGGAAAAAACTGCTAAACCCAAACATAGCACCAAACTCCACAGAAGTCTATAGCAGCTGAATCTGTTATTTTACAGCCTTTTTCATAGTCAATTTGCAAGCCTTAGTTACTGAAATGACATCTATAGCTGGGCTCTGACGTGGGGACATGTACGAATGCAAAAAAAAAAAGTTGATTTTATATTTTACCATTCAGCAGAAGGCCTTTAATTGCAGCTTAGAGGGCAACATTGAAAATATACAAATCCTTTAAATACTATGTGTGGGGAATGACTTAAAGCTGCATGTGAAGTTGTGGATACAGTGCAATGTCCTCCTTTTAACCATTTGCCGATTTGCCTGCAGTAAATTTACTGTGGGCAGGCAAATGTGTATAGGCACTGTCATGTACCTATACGTCGGCACCTTCTTTCAGGTTCAGGGCACACGCGCCATCCACCCCCCTCAGCCGACTCCCTCTGTGACTGGACAAAGCAGGATTTTGTCAGCCGGTTTTAGCCAATGATTCATGGCTGAGACCTGCTGATCGGTTGTGTGCAATCACAGCCCAGAGCCCTGTGTTGGCAAACACACAGGGCTCTGCGCTGAGGGAATGATCTTTATGCTTCTTCTTGCTGCAAAGTAGCTACAAGGATCAAACATATTTTTAGTAAAAAGCAACACACATTAACAGTTGTTAGGCACACACTTATCCCCTTGATTACCCTGAGATGTTAACCCCTTCCCAGCCAGTGTTAGTAGTACGTTGATAGTGTATAGTATTATTCACTGATCACTGTATTAGTATCACTGGTGATATCAGTGTCAGTCAGTTAGTCTACCTACCACCGAGTGTCAGTTAGTGTCAGATTGCCACAGGAAGAAGGGTCAGCCGCACACTGGAGGATTGATGAATATAGTGTATATTTATTGATCCATAGGACACACAAAACACCAGGACATGAATAAAGGAGCTGTTAACGCGTTTCACATGATCTCGTGCTTAATCATAATCAGAGTGTCAGATTGCCCACCGCACAATTACAGTCCCACTATAAGTTGCTGATCACAACCGTTATTAGTATAAAAAAAAAAAATTCAGGTATACTGTATATACTATAGTTTGTAGACACTATAACTGTTAAACAAAATCAATATGTACTTATTGGGATTCTTTTTTTTACCAAAGACATGTTGCAGAATACATATTGTCATGTTGAAACAGGAAGGGGCCATTCCAAAATGTTTCCACAAAGTTGGGAGCATGAAATTGTCCAAAATGTCTTGGTATGCAGACGCCTTAAGAGTTTCCTTCACTGGAATTAAGAGGCCAAGCGCAACCCCTGGAAAAACAACCCCACACCATAATCCCCCCTCCACCAAACTTTACACTTCGCACAATGCAGTCAGGCAAGTACCATTCTCATGGCAACCGCCAGACCCAGACACTTCCATTGGATTGCCGGACAGAGAAGCGGGATTCATCACTCCAGAGAGCATGTCTCCACTGCTCTAGAGTCCAGTTGTGGCGTGCTTTACACCACTGCATCCGATGCTTTGCATTGCACTTGGTGATGTAAAGCTTGGATGCAGCTGCTCGGCCATGGAAACCCATTCCAAAAAGCTCTCTATGCATGGTTGTTGTGCTAATCTGCAGACCACATGAAGTTTGGAGGTCTTTAGCTATTGACTCTGCAGACAGTTGGCAACTTCTGCGCACTCTGTGCTTCAACATGCGCTGACCCCACTCTGTCATTTTACATGGCCTACCACTTTGTGACTGAGTTGTTGTTGTTCCCAGTTGCTTCCACTTTGTTAGAATACCACTAACAGTTGATTGTGAAATATTTAGTATCAGGGAAATTTCATGGATGCACATACTGCACAGGTGGCAACCCATCACGGTACCATGTTTGAAAGAACTGAGCTCCTGAGAGCAACCCATTCTTACACAAATGTTTGTAGAAGCAGTCTGCATGTCTAGATGCTTGATGTTATACACCTGTGGCCATGGAGGCGATTGGATCACCTGAATCCAATGATTTGGAGGGGTGTCCCAATACTTTTGGCAATATAGTGTATTTAGTGTCACTTTAGGCGTGGACAATGCAAACTCCAGATATTTTTGTTAGCTTGGAGAAAAAGGATGAGGTGGGAATAGGAGAGTGCCTTGCCATTGTAGGCTGTAGGTTTGTTTGTTTCTGTTATTGTACATGAAACAGGAAACCTGGGGCAGCGGTTGTAACTTCAGTTTAAAGCGCTAAACAAAAAGAAGCTGCATACTTTGTAATTGATTAATCAGCTGCTTTGGGTGCTTAACTGAAGGATTAATATCACATGTGATATAATGTGCCGCTACAGTGCAATGTAGTATTGCTAAGTGACAGTAACATATTTGGCCTCTTTCACGTGGGGTGGACTCCGTCAAGCTGAACCGCCTGCACAGCGGGGGATCTGTCCACTGATCCCCGCTGAGCAAGCCGATGACAGATCCATGCCCACTCTGCAGAGTGGACACAGCCTGCTGTTCTCCATGGGGTGGCCAGATGTAAATAGACAAGACTGTCATCCGATCCAATCCACTAGACAGAGGGGGAACATATCCCCATCTGTATGTTTTTGGCGGACTGGATTGGATCTGATGCAAGTGGGTGTAAAAAGACACATGGCCGTTTACATCCACTTCCCCAAAGAGAACAATAGGTGGTCCGAACAGGTCCAACTGAAAAATGGACAGGCAGACCCCATTGGGGCGTTAGGGTCAAGATGATTATTTTTACTTTGCTATTTTATCATCTAATGATAGTATTTCCCTAAAAAACTAACAGATTACAAACATAAATATAATTTTGGTGTGGATTGGTGCACTAAATTATATTATTTTATCTCACAATTCAATGGTTATAATATATATGTTGGTTGCCATTATGACAGCAATAATTGGGCAATTCAAATCTAATTTCTGCCTAGGTGACCCTTGCTGACTTTGTCAGCCAGTGCCTAGAAGTACCATATCTTTGCTCTTGGCTGCTGAACAGATTGGCAGACAAATAAAGGAAAGAAGGTAAGTATGTGCTGTTTGAGCAAGGGCATTACAGTGTTTCGGACAACGTGCAAGTTTAGTTTAATGATAGACCCAGAAAAAGCATGCAGGCCAGGAGTTTTTACTTCACTGGTTGCATATTTGTTCTGTGTCGATGATATCCAAAGCAATGAAGAAATGAGGGGGGGGGGGGGACTTTCCCCTTCAGAACTTATTAACAGTGCTTATAATTTTTTTCCTGGAAAAGTCCTAAACAATAGTCAATTTACCTGTGAGATCCTACATTTGAGATCAACTGTCTATAGTTCTATGCCACAATTCTAATCAGCATGCTTGGTCATAGTCTGAATGAGACAGCCAAATTTCACCTCTAAGTTTCTCAAAGGGTTGATGAGGATTTGGGATGTTTATAATGCCTGTGTTGCTTTGTCATGCACAAACGTTGTATATTTATATATAAAGCTCAACTTTGCCAATTTCACTCACCTTAAAAAATTTCTCTGGTTTACATTGCTTGATTTGCTGATACCTATGTCATCATAAACATTATTTGGTGTTTGACTCTCTTGTTCCTTAAAAAATACATTTAGAAAGGCATGATTCATTGACACCACAGCTGACACAGAACATATCTTGACAATTATATTATAGCATATACTGTATACTGTATAAAAGAAAAAATCTGACGCACGCTGCACATTTAAGTTTATGAAGTAGACATTTCCTAACTGGTTCACCTATAGCTATCAATTAATATAACATGTTTTTGTTTTGATAATCTTGCCTTTAAATATACAGTCAACATACATTGGTTAGGGAAAATCTGGTTTTATTACAGAAAAGATCACAGAAAATATTGACCAATTATTTAACACCTGTAGATATAACCAAATGATTTAGTCTTTAGTCTTATTAGCAACTCATAGAAAATCATAAATCATAATTCTTACATCATCATAAATATGAGATGAACATTTGAGCTTGTTTCATAAAAATACAGTTAGCATGTATTATATTAAGGAAGGAAGAATTTAACTCCATGCGAACAAAACTCTCAAAAAACCATTTATGCTTGATAAAGAATACAAATACATACCCAAATGAACTGGTCAGAAAACCAGTTGATTACATTGTAAATACGAACTGAACAAATGCAGAGTAATTACACACCTATTTGTGCAATTTAAGTTTACAAAGTCCATAACCCCATATCTAATCATAAAAAGACATAGATGGTATTTATTCTTTTTTCAATAATTACTTTTGTATTTCATTAATTACCTAAAAATATTTATAAAGAAAAGCTTTCATTGCTTCTTTTTTTCTAGCATATCATGGGAGGGACAGTTTTGACTAATGTTAATTATTTGCCACTCTTCTTTAGTACCTCTTCCTATGGTGATCATTAATGTGCCTCTTACTTCCTTGCTTCCTTTATATATGTTAATAGATGAGGATTTATTTTTATGTTACTCAGTTAAAGAGTGCTGACACGTTTGTTCTTTGAACAGTTTCTTCCAGAGAGCACTGAACCAATGACATCAGTCCCAGTCCCATGAAGGGGCTCAAATATTAATGTTCCTATGGCTGTCATGCACACACACACAGGGGGACATTTACCATTTACACTATGTTGCACAGTAAGGCAATTCATAGGATAACACAAAAGCAATGAAACCAATTTACTGTAGCGCTACCCCCTTGAGGGCTACTGTGTTTCTAGGCCCTCCTAAGCTCTGCACAGCCAGGCAACACGCATTTTCCACACTTGCACCCACAGTCAACGAACAGTCCTTGCACTTGGTTTTTGTTATTTTATTAAGGGAAATAACTTGGATAGGGTAAATGGGACTATGAGATGCCCAACTTAATTGAATCAAAGCATAGGAACAGCTTCCTTCCTGCAGTATTTATAGAA